AGTGCCCTCTTCTGGCCTTTCCTGGGACAAAAGGAATGCACGATAGAGTGTCTTCTTCCTCTCTGTGAATCGAATCGTGAGAGACGTAGGCGTCGATGTGTCAGAGACAGGTTAAAGTGCAGGTTGATGGTGCCACTCTGCTTGAAGGACTCCTCAAGAGAGGGTGTCTCTCTGTAAGTGAGATTCTGACTTACAAAGATTCATGAGTGACCGTACTTGTTATTGGCAGTAATATGGGCGCAACATTCTGCGTTGGACAGGCTCAAGGGTATTTTATATTATTCGCGGAGGCAGATGGCCGAAGCATGAATACGGCTTGGCTATATAGCTGAAAGATCATCGTTACTTTAATGGCATTTCGAAGGAGACGAAGAAAAGGATTGTGAAGTATTAATGGAAATGAATGTTACCACTTATGCACCTTTTTCCCCTTTAGGAGGTCCTCAAAGGCAGTGACATTATCAAACATCTTGCTGTCGTGTTCCTGATGCTGGAGTTCCTTTCGAAGATCCAAAAACTTAAAAATAAAACAAAGAACTAACGAATGACTCACATTTGATTTTAATTTGTCCTTTGTCCACTATCAACCTTATTATATTTCATACTGCATTACACCTAACTCGCTCTCAATTTTAATACAGGGAAATGTGATTGAGTTTTAGTCCCTCTCTAATATTTTCCTTTTTAACTTATCAACGTAAATTTGATGATTTATCATCAAAGATGAGTTTTTGCTTACTAATCTGAAGAAGAAACCTCAGAAACAACGTTGATCTACAAGATCCGTGCGATAGTCAAATACTAGGAACCAAATAGCTAAATGGTATAAACTACTATAAGTTGAGAAATGCTGATAACTCTATGATTTATGGTATTAACGTCATAAGTTCGATTCAGGGCAAAAACAAAGATAGTTCTTTGTGACGTTCAATCCTTTTTGTAATACCAATTCTTATAAGAAAAAACATAAATAATGACTACATTTGGAGTTTAAGTACTCATATATTTTTAGGGATAACTCATTTGTTTTGATTGTTATTAACGGTCGGCAGACTTTGAACGTCGCTTTGTATTCTGTTGCGTTAAGTTGAGATAACGAAATAGAATTATGAAAATATATTAATGGACTTGCCAAAATAAATACATAATAATTGCCGAATGCTATTTAAGACTTTAGAAGACCTGGCCAGCGTGTTAATGCAAGCTGACCACTCTGTGTCTGCTTTTGCGTTGTCGGCGTTGTCTCCTTGTCTGTCAGGTGGACTCAAAATGCCCCTCGTGGAAATTGATTCACAGGATCGGTTAATACTTGGTCGCTGCTGGGTTCTTGTTTAGAAAGCGGGCGACTGCGCTTGTTAGAGACTCATAGACAGATGGACCTCCGGCTCTTCTGCCGCCGCTACCACCACCATCACCACAAATACCAATAACACTGACACCGCAGCTACCGTCGCCTTTGCCATCCTCGTTGCGGCTGCCGTCATCACGGAGGCCACCTTTGTTAGCATTCTTACCATAGTCACCATTGTCACTCTCTCCCCATCATTGCCATCATGTCACCGTTATCACCATCACCGTTATCACCGTCACCGTTATCATACGTCGTAGAACGTTATCATCGTCACCTCCACTCCCCGAGAGGGACTGCCACATTTAGAATATTCCCTGATTCTTCGGACCCTCCCTGCAGGATCCGGGACAGGAAGGGGGGGATCTTTGGACGATAAACGAAAGAACCCTTTTCTCTTGTGGAAGATAATGCGCAAATGTATTCATCACTGGAAAATGAATGTTCTCCTTCATATTGTGTATTTTAAGTTAATTAACTTACGGGATGTTTTATTACCAGAGAGACAAGATAATTTATTTTGCTAATATTTGAGAAAGAAATAATTACAATTACAAAGATGTTTTAGGTATAACAATATGATAGAAAACTAAGTAAGAAATA